AACACAATAGTGCGCTACTCTTCGGCCAAATATTTGGCGAGAATTACGAATCGATTGCCGAAAGACTTGGCGTCAGAAGTGGTGTCACATGTCCTCCAACTCTGCCAATGGAAAGACTCGGACTCTTATCTGTTTTATATTATTTATACTTTTTTATATTACTGTATAATTGTTTCATGCATTTAGTATCAAACATCTGTGATATGTTAAATTTGTCAATTATATTGCAATTATAATAATCGCTCACAGTCTACATATTTTTATTACATTTGATTTACTGAGAAAAATAAATTACAGTATTTTATCAAACTTTGTGAACAAAACTTTTGAAACAAAGTTTATGACTCGTCGTACTCTATGAACAGCACTGCGTTTGTGAGTCACATGACCACCACCTCTACAGCAATGGCGCCACTGTCTGGCAAACAGTGAATGGAAAGCATTGGCTGTCAATGCGATCGTTGTATGCATTGGTTGTGGTGTTGAACACAATCACACAAACACTCATTGACTGCACTATCAGTCGGTCAGTGGTTTGCCATCACATCACACGACCCGTCATAACATGCGGTCAAACACTCAACACATGACCAATGGCTGCAATGGGAGGGCCACGAGTGGGGCCCCAGAGGTGGGCGTCCACCACCACAAACACGAGTACGAGTGCCAGGGGGTGACCAACGGACACGTGCGCCACTCATCGCCACCACCAGCACCGGTGACCCCGAACGGACAGTCGTGTGTGGGGCGCCGACACGTGCACGTGAACGAGGAGGTGCCCTTCCATATCATCCTGATCTGCTACCTGTCGTATGTGGTGCTCATACTCTTCGGGTATATGCGAGACCTCATGAGGAAGACGGGACTCGAGAGGAACACAAATGCCGTGGAAAGGGATCGCGAGGGCTATGTCCAGCTCTACCAGTCCTTCGAGAGCTTCTACACCCGCAACATCTACCGGCGCATTAGGGACGCCTGGAACATGCCGATCGCCAGTGTGCCCGGTGCTCGCATCACCATCATTGACAGGCTCACCCCCGACTACAACAACACGTTCAGGTAATGCCCGACACGCCCATCACCTGCCCGTCCACTCACTCACCCGCTTCACGGCTACCACCGCTTCTCCCTATCATTGAGTGCCGCATATGTTGTGTACATTTTGTGTGTTTCCTGTGCTGTACTATACTATCCATTGGTTTCTCAATTGTGAGTGTTTTATGGATTCATTATAAACCAGAATATTCTGTGCGATGAATATGTGGTGTGTTTTCAATGCTGTTATCAATAATAGATAGCATTCAGGCGTTTCTCGAGTTTTTGTTTTATTGTCGCCTTTAGTGTAGAGCCCGTCCTAATGGTTGATGACTTCATATTTATGATACCTGTGCCGCACCTCAAGTTTAATCCCTGTCCCCAAAAAGCCATTGATTTAATCACAGCTCGTGAACGAAGTGTTTTTGTTTTACTAACAGTTTTATGTCATACACTGTATGTCATACAGAATATGTTTTATATGGAAATATCGCTTTTGATTCACTGTTTAGTCTATGACAGAGACTATGAAATCGATGTTAGCATTCATTTCAGGCGTTTTGTATGATTTCACAACGCATTTGAAATCACAAATTTGGTGGTAATTGTGTGGTGTTTGACTCTTTTTAATCATTCATTTCTGTTGTAGTCATTAAAAAAGTTGTGTTGAGTTTCACACAAACCATTGATTCTGTAAAATCTAATCATTTCGTTGATTAAAGTAATAGAAAAAGTAAATTAAATTGAGTTTCTATTGCATTAAATGTATAGCACTTTGATCTTCAAGTCTAGGAGTCATGTAATATTAGCTATGATATCATCACTACTCTATGCACTGTATTCAATGAGATTACATTACAATCACCTGATATCCAGTCCCCTCTCAGACCTCTAATGTGACACAAATTATTGATTTTTCATTTTGATGTCAATTTTAATTGCGGTTTATATACAGTTAGGTTTAAAAGCATTTTCAAAATACGGTTGTAAATAATTGCATGACTTTTCTACATTCACTACAGTTTAATGGCACACACAGTATGTTAGACTTGATATTAAGTGGTAGTAATTGAGTTTTTATTATGTAATGTTGTATTTATACATAAGTCAATTTAGTTTTTTGTCTGTTTTATATTTATATTAACTGAGATAATCGATAATTTAAGACAGGCTTATTACTGCTATGAATATCATGTATTTATTTATTTATGATAATAATGTTTGATATTTTCTCTCAATATTCTTATAATTAGTATTATTTATGAATTAGTTTCTATATTTGTACAATATTTCCATTGTTTATGAGTTGAATCTATTGATAATCAATTGATTATTTTGTTTTTATTTAATTTCTATTTATTTAGTTTAATAGAAACGTACTATAATTTTCTATTATCATAACAAATAAATATTTTATTTTTATAGTTTTACGACACTTTATCTCATAATCTTCAAAATTAAGGTTAAATTCGTATACATTTTCTCAATAGTGTTCAACAAATTAAAATATTTGAATTGAAATATAGATTTTCTATACAATAAGAACATTAAGTTAAAATGTAGGCTTTTCCCAATACTGTAGTTATACTCCACACTTACATTATTAGTATTATGTAATGAGATTATCTAGTTAATGAGATCTACTAATTTTTGAAACATATCGTTATTTAACTTATTATTAATTTTTTAAATTTAAAATTCTTTTAACATTAATGACATAACAGTTACCAAAATGCCTGAAGGGTTGGGAAATACTACTCATCTATGTTTAAGAGTCTGTCTTTTATTAAGTCCTATATATTTGAGACATTCATTTGCCTTTAAATTTATTAATTGCAAAATATTTTTGATTGCTTTCAGTTATCCCGGAACCAAAACGGAAGCCATAAATATGGGTTCATATAATTATCTGGGTTTCGCCGAGAATACCGGCCCTATCATTGAGAATGTGAACAATACGATCGACCAGTACATCGTCGGTGTGGGCACAACACGACACGAGTTAGGTATTGATTGTCATGTTTTTAAATTGTTTTAGTTTTTTGGTTATGTGTTTGCAATTGAGAGTATGTTTTGCATTGAATGATAGGCACCACTGAAGCCATCAGTCAACTCGAGACTCTAACGGCCCGTTACTTAGGCGTCGAGTCCAGTGTTGTGTTTGGTATGGGTTTCGGTACAAACGCCACAAACATTCACACGATTGTCGGTAAGGGGTGTCTTGTGCTGAGCGATGAGCTAAATCACGCCTCCCTTATACTGGGCTGTCGTCTATCGCGTGCCACCGTTCGCACCTTCCGTCACAACGGTTTGTCCGCTTTTCAACTCATTTAGAAAAGCATTTACTAATCGTTTGAATGGTTTTTGTTAGATATGAGAGATTTGGAGCGAAAACTGCGCGAACAGCTAGTGTTAGGTCAGCCCCGGACGCACCGGGAGTGGAAGAAAGTGATTATAATCGTCGAAGGGATCTACTCGATGGAGGGCTCGATCATCGATCTGCCGGAACTGATCCGCATTAAGAAGAAGTACAAGTGTTACGTGTATTTAGACGAAGCGCATAGTATCGGTGCCATCGGCCCCCACGGGAGGGGTGTTTGCGATTACTATGGGTGCGATCCCAACGACATCGACATACTTATGGGTACATTCACTAAGAGTTTCGGTGCGGCCGGCGGTTATTTGGCCGGTAAGAAGTCGCTCATAGACCACATCCGTGTCCACTCGTATGGCGACGCCTATGCCTGTGCGATGGCTCCCTTAGTGGCCACACAGATCTCCAGTGTTATGACTACACTGATGGGCGAAGACGGCACTAATCAGGGTATGTCTCCTATAATCACTAATCACTGTATATTTATTTGTTTGGGTTTAAGTGTCGAGTATTTAAACGCCTTTCCCTTGTTTTTTCGTTTGGCATTTGTGTTGATCTGTTTTCTTAATTGATGCCAAACTGTTATGTCATGTCATTGAATATAAGTCCTATTGTTGATCAGTGTTGTGTCATTCTGTGTGCTATTTGTTTAGATTTTATTTTAAGTGCCTTACGCTACCAGTTATCATATTTTCTATTGAATTAATTACCGGTTATAAATTAATGGTAATTATTTGATAACTAATTCTGAATTACTTTTGATTTACAAAATAATATAAATATAATTTGATGGACAGGTCAGCAACGAATCAAACAATTGGCTCGAAATACAAGGTATTTCCGACGAAAACTGAATCAATTAGGGTTTATACTATACGGTAACGACGACTCGCCTGTCGTTCCCCTTATGCTCTACTTTTTGCCTAAAATACCGTAAGTTTTCCATTGAAATGCTCTATAATAAGCATTTGTGTCCACAATCGTATTAATTACACACACTTTTGATTGCATGTATGCAGTGCTGTAATACGGATGGCCTACAAGGAGGGGATCGGGTTCATAGGGGCCGGCTTTCCAGCGACATCTCTGACGACCGGTAGAGTCCGGTTCTGCATCTCCGCCTCCCATACTCGGGAAATGCTCGACAAATCCATTGAGTTTATGGATGAAATCGGAGACAAACTTGAAATAAAATATTCGGCGCGACGTCGAAGTAAAAGTGAAATTATTTATTAAGAAAGTGGTGTTGAATTGCAACGAAAAAATCATACATTGTTTGTAATATTGATATAAATTGTTATTTTAATTAGGATTTTAAATACAATTATATATATATGGTATCACAGTAGTATGCATTGATTTCACTGCATATTAATCAACAAATTTGATGCATATGTTTGACACAAAAGTGTGGTTTTGTGTGTAAATTGTGTGCTCATTACTGTTTACTTAAGAAGTTTCCAAGATTATTTTTTTTACTGTTTTGCTTTCAATCAATGCTATGTTAAATGAACATTGTTAATACATTTGAAATATTTCCATGTCATCTAAAACATTGTCTTATTTTTATTGATGAATCACTTTCCCATAACTCTAATACCAATGTATGATTACCTAATGTCTCAAAATATCGTTTGTAATTCATTTGATAGTTATTTTTGTTAATCAAATGTGTTTTCATTTCCCTTTTTTGGGTTGAGATCTGTGTTGCGAACCAATTGTTGATAAAACACATCACTGTTTAGTTTTTATTGATTATTATTATGAATATTTTGATAATTTATTTTTTATTAATCTTTTGATTACTGAGAATTTTTGCCAAATTTATAATTATTATTATATAACACAATATAAGAATAATTAATAAAATAATAAGTGCTATAAAAACAATCGTCTTATACATATAGAGAGAAATATTTACGATTAGATTCTTATAAATCATATGAAATTAACAAAATTGTTATATTTTTGATCGCATTTTCTTGTTCACTAACATACCAGTGCACGAAAGGCTTATATTTGTAACAAATATAGTAGTTATAATTGTTTTAATGAGTTTTGTTTTTATTATTATTTACTTTTAGTAGATAACGGAGCATAAATGTAATGAAAATTTATTTTTTGTTTGCTTATTACACAGCAATTCAATGCCTGCCATAAGATTTTTAGCCTCAAAGCAATAATAAATACATTATAAGAATAATGAAATATTTTTAAGATTAATTAATAAATAAAATATTTAAAAATTGATTGCTTTTATTTTGGTTATAATTTTATAAATGATTTAAAACTTGATAACAATAAAGGTTGAATTATGGTATAATGGTTGCAGACTACATATATTTCATTAGTATTAAATTAAATATAAGAATAATAAGACAGTTGAATAAAAATTACATGTCAATCGTGTGTATAAATGTAAAAAGTATGTAAAAAGATTATACCATACAATGTATTCAATGTACCCAGGTTATACAATATAAGTTATTATGAGGATAAGGATTAGGAAAAATATGTTTTCTTAGTCTAATAGAAAACAATCATTTCATACAAATATAAATAACATATCAAACAGTTGTGCCTTCAGTGAGATGTCTCGTCAGGTTTGGTCTCATTATTTTCATTTCAAACTCAATTTTCCCGTCAATTGTAATCTAACGTTAGGCTGCGGTCCAAACACTTCGGTGGCATTTGTTATCATTAATTCAATGGCTCTGATCTTTTGTATGGCACTGTATGTGAGCTCAACATTCGCCGATTCCCTGCCATTAGTAACATAACAAGCATTTTGCAGTTAGAAAGAGGACAGACATTAATGAGCGCCAGGAGTAGGCATAAGAGAGAGAGAGAGAGAGAGAGAGAGAGAGAGAGAGAGAGTAAAACATATCGTTAATAATCCAGACTAAAAAACAAAACGCCAACCAAAAGATGCATAAAAAATGCAAAAATTTTAATTTCGCTCAAAACTATTCTCTCATTGTTTTAGCTCTGAGTTTATGTTGAAAGCGCTGGAAGTGAAGTGCTTTCGCTTTTATATTATAACTTTTGAAACGCACAGAATATTCTGTTGTCTATTCAATGTATCCAATATAGCATTTCATTTGCTTCACTTTCATACACTCTTATAACTTATTATTTTATTTATGCGAAAAATATTTTCGTTACTTTTTTTCATACAACAAATTAATGTTGTTTTTAAAGTTAATGTACAGAATATTCTATGTATTAAAGTCATGTATAAAAGCCATATAAAAGCAGTGCTTTCTATGAGACTTACATGGGTTTGAATATAATTGCGGTGAACTGTACGGCTAGAGTCGACTCATTAGTCTCGACTTCCCTCTTATGGAGAGATAATCTCTTCAAGTGATGCATCAGATATGATAAGACAAGGAAGTGATTGGGCGGCAAGTGATTGACCACTTCTCGCAACTCGAATATTATGATAATAACCCCGGACTTAGTGTAGGGCACCTTCCGCTGGGGCCACTCCTTGGCGATCCGGATCAGCTCCAACTGTAGCTCCGGACCCACCAATGGCTTCGGCAGCTATTTGTGACACAATCAGTCATTAATACAAATACCGCACAAACGGCTCAAAATTCACGTCTCTATAAGTGATTTATATTTATCTATCACAACGAAACACACTATACATCCAAAACCAAAACAAAACTTTTGAATAATGTATGACAAAAATATGTGTATTTTATATATTTATTATTCCCTTATTCTGTGAATAGAATCGAAACGAGAGAAACACTATTGATATGCGATTCTGTGATTCTGTAGTATACGCTATATTCTGCTATACTGTATACATATTGTTATACTGTATATGTGTTTGATTTTGTGTTGGTTTTGCAAATATACTGTATATATAATATATAATGTGATATATATTATATATATATTTCATACTTTATTCAAATATATTTTGAGAACATCTGTGATGTCGTTATGACTACAATATCTGAGATCAATAAATTGTGGCCCGCATTGAAAACTGGCGCAAATTAGCGACACTCGCGTCGGGTCGCCGTTCGCTCTGTAAATGCCTTTTAATTTACTGAACGGCCGTCTCTCGAGTTCACTAATGCATGTGTGCATCACTTGAGGCACTCCTCCCACGCACTCGTCCAGCCCTACGCCAAACACCGGCACTTTGGATGGCAGACCGCTGTTTGGGCACCGGATCACCAAATATCTAATGCACTTTCGGTGTCCGATTAGACCGCACTGTAATCATAGTAATGGATAAAAAACAAGTTGAAAATTTTTAGACACTTATTAAATATTTAACACCATTTCAAGTCTACCAGAGTTTAGACTTAACCTGAAATCTGGACAAAAATAGATTAATAAATCTCCAAAACAACCCTTAAGTTTGCCCACCCCTGATATGTTTTACAAACTATTATTGATTAATAATATGTTTAGAAATTAAGTGATATTTTAATTGCCGAGTTCACTGAATTAATGTTTGACTGAATGTTAAATGTATGGCTTATTGTAATTATAGACCAAACAGTATCTGTATTTCCAGACCATCGCCTCATTTAAGAGATAAATAAATTCAAAAACATTTCATATTACGAAACATAAGAGAATTTACATAATTTTCAGTAACGACTTAAAAGTGAATAATCTTGTAGTTTGTAAACATTTTTATTTTTACAACTGAATTGTTTCAAAAGCACTCATACTTTCTACAAGTCTGTGAAAAGACTATTAGATATATAATCAGAATATTTTTACTCTTCAGTTATTTCTCAAACATAACACAACTCTTGTGTGTAATTCAAGAATTGGTTAAATACTATACAAGTATTCATTGAATTTGGCATTAAATGTAATATTTTAATAAGAATTTTATTCATATAAATACGATCTCATAAATGTTAAATAATTTGAATTGTTTTTATATATTACAGATGTTTTTGATACAGAAACCGAGAAAATATTTTATATTCACTACAATACTAATAGTATTAGTCTTATAGTAATAACGTTAGACGAGAGATAAAAATAAAATATTTTATATAATATTAAATATTAGTGGAGAAGTATTTCCTTTGATGTATTTCCCTATAACTTATATTTTGCCAAAAGTGATAACAATTGCCTTAAATAAAGATTTATTATTTCTGTTGAAGTGTTTGAAAGTAACTCAAGTAATTCACTCGAGAGTCCATTCATGTGTTAAATGCATGAAATTATTTTTTTATTTCTCTAATTTAGTCTAATTGTAAACCCTTTACTAATATTTTTCAAATTTAATTTCAAATATAAAATATTACACAATAATACTAAATAATGAATACTATAATCAGTTAATTCATTATTATTTATATACATATACTAAAGTATCGCAACTTGATTCTCAAGTATTAATTAAGTTTTAAATGACATATATTTAGAGTGCATTAAAACTTTAATTAAATTAAGTAAAACTTTCTAAATAAATTGTAATTTTGGTATTAATATTATTTATAATTTATATCTCGACAAATTATATAATACTGTATATAAAGTCTTTAGTATTATTTTGAAAAATATTATTCACTTAATAAATCCTAGTTATGCTAAATTTACTAGTATACTGTAATGGACATTATATGATATCAATATTTCAGCCATTGTATAATTATAATTATTCTTGTTAATAATTTTTGATAAAATATACAATCAATAAAGAGTTTGTCACAAAAATTCAATTATCTCTCCGAAGATTATCTTTTATTTGAGACTATATTTAATTAATAAATGAAAACTTTTAATGACATGTATTATTCACATTTAAATGCAACTAATTCTGTATTTGACATATTCTGTGAGATAATGCCTTTTGAAACGTTAATTATATAACTAATGAATATAAGAGTTACTTATTTTGATAAATGCTTTTCTTGTGTTTAACTCACGATTATATGAATTAAAAATAATAAACCATTAGTTTGTGTAACACGACGACTGTATCCCAGAGTGAAGTCAACCAAAAAGAAATGCTACTTAAATATGCCATTAATTGGGAGGACATTAATAATGGACATACAGCTTTTTGTATGAACTATAAGTTAGCTTTTATTTTCAAAACATTATTTCAATCAAACACTTCATTGGGTTAAATATTTTATAATTTTTTCTCCTAAATAAGAGTTAATTATTATAATAAATCATAAGAGGATTAACTTTTATCGTGAAAAACATGAAATGAAATTAGAAATTCATATAACCTTTACATATAATCTTTATTAATTTTAAAAAATAAAACAAATCCAATACCAGTAATACATTTTCAGTTGAAGTTTATACTGTACTCTATAATTGCATTGAAATACACGGCTGTATTAAATTGAAAAGTATATCAAATATTGTGAACCAATTTTATCCATACATTTATCCCTCAAACATAACTCACAAATATTTTTCACAAAATCTATTTATTCTTCTTTGGTATCGATTTGTGTGGTTTTCAGATCAAAAACCAACACAAAAAGTGGAAAATATTTTCAACTGATAAAAAGTGCATAAATCTTATTACTGTGAGTGAGTGAGAGAGTAAGAGAGAGAGAGAGAGAGAGAGAGAGAGCAAATATAAAGTGAATATCAAATTGAATGTATATTTTTTATGTATGTCTAGTATAATATGTACAATACAGTAGGTATAGTGTACTTACTTTAAGGCATTGAAATCCCCTAAAATAGACCGTTTGTTCACAAATCAAACACTTCTCGATCTTAATCTTCAACAGTTTCAGTCGTCTCATGTCGTGCGACTCCAACGGACTGGTAGTCTGATTGTTGATGTGATCCAAATAGGTCTGTAAATTACCGAAAGTCTCCCTCAGAAGCGTTGAATTCAATAGACTTTTCTGGAGATAATGGGCCGACTTGTGGCCGTCCTCGTGATTGGCCGCACAGTAAAACACTTCGTCGTCTAAGGCCCCGAACCGGGAGGAACTGCTCTCCGAGTCCGTACAGCTCTCAAACCGGGGGCCCGTTATGCTGATAGTGGGCACTTGGATACTACGGTTCCCCTCCGATGAGGTCCGTCTGACTGTTGGATACATCGAGAGAAACATTTTATTGTCAATTCAATAGCACTTTAGGTATTTGTGTTAAGACTTGTTAGAAATTAACACAACTTTCCACTCGTCTATTGAAATATAAAATTAAATTTATTGTAAGCATAACAGTCGCGAAGTAAATGACAAATATTTATTCAATCCGTTTTGTTATTTACATTTATATTATATGTTTTAAATGCATTGAAAGCTTGTATTGAATGTGTTTTTCTCAATATTTGAATAATTAATTTCTT